TGATGAGTGGTGTATGATGAGTGGTGGTTGAACAGCTGTTGAATGTCCGTAACACGGAAGTTTTGCACACTAAACTTCCTTTGATCATATGTTTTACATGTGCTGCCGGAGCAGTTCAAGCTCTACATGTCATTTATGAACATGATGCGCATGATTCCGCCTGGGTCTACAGGACGGTTGCAAACGCTTTCCTCAGCCAGAAGCACCCGGTTGGATAAATCTCTTCTTGTGTCGAACATTAACATGGCTCCCTGGAATATGGTGTTCCCCTAGCAACCAGGACCCCGATCGAGTCCGGATGTTGCGCCAAATCCATGTTCCAGTCGGTTTCATTCCGCGATTCACTGAAAGTTGGTTTCAGAATTCCATTTGGTTCCCCACATGTTCTTTTGACTTGTTGGCCAACCTGGTGTGCTTGGTTTCAACCTCCAAGAAGCATCCCAGGGCACAGGGTTCGTTCAGACTGCAAAAAGTTCATGTTTCTGCATCATCCCAACCGTTTTTTGCAGATTATATTTGATATTTTTTAAAGATTTCTGCACTCGTTGGTAGAATACTTGTAAGGCTTCTAGGTGTGGAAAATCCGACCCCCATATATATAGCACACTTAGTCACAGGTTCATCCAGTATCAGAATCCACGGTGAAATGGATGAGGGAAACGCAAGGTGAAGCGGTCAGCGCAACTGAATTGTTGAACGATTTTGTTCACTTGTCTGCAGAACGCGGCGGCGAGCAGCTGCAGTGGAGAAACCTGTTTGGGGGAGTATCGTGGAGAACCACCATGCAAAACAAAGAACAGCGGAGGGGGTCAACAGTTCCAATTGCAGGTGCACATGAGGACGTCTCCCGATGCATCACCAGAGAGTGTGTGTGGACGTCTTTGTTGGCAGTGACTCCACAAACTCTGTCACTGCCCCCTGCGAGAGTGGAACTCTTAGAAACAGAGTGTGACACACACACACACACACACCCAAAGCATCTAGCATCGTACAGGGGAGAACCCCACAGGAAAAGCGGCCCTGCCCTGTTTGCGCCCGTTAGTGTGTCCCACAAGGATTCACACCAACCGATTCCAGCTCCATCCGCCGTATTTTGGCTGCCGCAAAGTGGACGTGCTATAGAAACGCCAGACCACAGTGCTACAGTCGAGGTTTCGGCTATGCACGCGGGGGTCAGTTCGTGCGTACCTCAATGCTTTCCATTTGCGATCTGGCAGGACTCTTCCCACTTTGTTGGGAGGGCAGCAGCCGAGCTTCAACCAGGACAAGGCATGGCTCAATGTTTTATTAACGTTTGCATCTAGGGGAGTCGATGCTTTGAAGTCTCGGATTTCCAATCAGAGTGGGCAACAGCCTGGCAGACCCTCGAACTGCTGGGTCATGGTCCTTTTCCCGTCGTCGCGTTCTTTATTCGCTTTATTGGGGTCGGTCCCAATTTCAAATGCAACCTAAGGAGGCATAGTTCAGTAGGTTTAAAACCAGGATCGAAACATCTGGAGTGAACACCATTGGATGACTGACCTGTTTGGCTAGAGTAGCGTTGTGTTTAGTCCACGTGAGAAGTTACAAGCTAGAGTAGCGTTGCTGGACGACTGCATTCATTGAGAGTTTCAATCGAAGGTAGTTTGATCCATCAGAATAACAATAGAATAATTCATCAATAGTCATTAGTGAATGTCCACTTGGAGGAGATAAGATCTCCTGCGCAATTTTCAATATCCCAAGAGCTATAAAGAGCTCAAGAAGGAGTAAAACCAACCATTGATTTTCAGGGTTCCTGTTGTCTTGGAAGCCATGTCCTTCAAACTATATATTAATAGCGGCTAATAGCAGGGTGAGATACCTTCCCCCTACTTGACCACCAAGATCACCAAGTGGGCTACAGATTTGGCATGAACATCGGTGACAAACCCAACGGTTTTGATGAACTGTCAGACCCAAACCCAGCCACGACCCACAGCGTCACACCTTCCACCCAACGAGGTGGATGTTCCGCCTCAGTCGCTGGGCATATGGCGGCTTCATCGGTCCAGGTGTTGCTCAACCATTTCTTTTGGCTAGAGGTAACCAGGTAGGCTACTGGCTGGGTCGCTGGCTGGGTCACGACCTGCCTCCTCTCGAGATTGCCTGGACTCACTCGGGCGGTTGATATAGATCTTCGAGTTTGGGATCAATTCGACTGGTCGGATCCTGTTTCCTTTTCCGTGGAGAACTCGCACACGGCTACGTCGTGGGACGGCGTTTCGACTGTTTGGACTGAACTGCCTCTTGCAGGAACGTGTTGGGTTTTTTGGATTGATTGGTCCGGTGGGCTGTGAGAGAAATGCAGGCGTTGGTTGACGAACACTCATAACATCAGGGAGCTTCGCTAGAATTTGCAGCAAAGGCTTTTTCCACTTACCTGACGAGTCTTTCACAAGCTCTGACTTCTCCAAGTGTGGGAGGTCTAGGAGTTTAAATCGGGGTCACAGCGCATGCAAACTTGGGTCGTTACATGTCGTTACTCTACTGCAGGAAGCCTTCAGTAATTATTGGCTAGTTTTGGGAGATTATGTTTGAATGAACAGCTTCATGTCTGAGATTCGACAGGATTTGTGAAAGCTGGAAGCATGCTTGACTTGGTTTAATTATACCTGGAGACTCAAAGTACCTCAAGGTACAAGTACCTTATTTTATAGGCTGAATATGTCCCATGTTCTAGGGTCCCGGTACTTGAAGTCGGGTCAAGGTATAAACCTCACCATGAGGGTCAAGGTATGACTCATGTTGACTCTATTGATCGTCTTACTTACTTTGTCAGCAGATGCACGGCTACAACCGCTTCGCTTCGCCTGGTAGGTGTGTTGAACCACTGCAGGGGTAAGGCATGCTCAGGCCATGTAAGGCATAAAAACCATATATAGAATACTCGTAATACAATAGACCGCTTAAACTGAAGGGTGGCTTTTGAGGTGACCTGATCGTTATAGAAGGTCTTTTGGTTACGCCAAAATTCATCACAAACAAGAATGATATAGCTTTTTGCTACTAGCAGTAGCGATGGCCTCCAACCTACTTGCGATGGCCTCCACCAAATTAGTGGCTTCAAAAATATACAAGTTCCACCAACTTCACCTTCACCCCTGGCCGAGGCCGGAGAAGAGCCGCCCGGAGCCGCGCTTGGACGAGCCGCCTCGGAACAAGGCCGCCGGGAGACGCGATGATATTTTGGGTTGGATGTTCTTTTTCGCATACTCCGAGATGCGTATATAGTTGAACTGCAAGCTTCAAAAGCATCGTGGCAAATGATGGCAAATGCGGGGTCTAGGTTCAGATTTCTGGGGAGGGTTGTGACCGTTGTCCCGGGCAAAGAAAACATGAAAAACAAAAACGACACAGGTGCAAGTCTTGCAAGGTATATAAACATGTGTTGTGTTGTCATTAGCATGGAGTTGCGAGCGACATGGAGTTGTAGTACTCGGGACTCGTGCGACTCGTGCGACTCGTGGCTCGAATGTGATGATCGTGGGATTTCCAGGTTCAAGCAACCATGGCACCTTCAGCACCGATGAGTGCCTTGCAGGGCGAGGGACAAGTGAGTTACCAGATGAACCGACGCAGCAATCAGGGTACAAAGAGTACTCGCCTCCACTTGGCCTAGCAATCCGAGAAGTAGTACTTGGCCATGTGGTATCATGTGGCTCAGGGTTCAGAGTAAACTAAAAACGTGAGCTCAGTAGACAGTGCTTTTCGGTCGGTCAAACCCAATGCTTTTGGGGTACAAGCTCACCCGCAGCAAAGGCTGAAGTCTTGGCACATGGCACACAGATCTGAAGTCGCAAGGGCTTACGCCTTGGAAGTAGGTGTCAAAGTCTTGAGTATATAGTAGATTCCTCCGAAAAATCAAGAGTCAAAGGACATTGTGGTAGTCGCAGACCATTGTTTCTCATGTTCTTGAATGATGAAGAAGACAAACAAAAGAAGGCTGAACAAGACTGAACAAGAACGATAATTAGCATATATTAACATATTTATATAATATTCCAGGCTTCTTCACTGCTTCACCGCTACCGGGTGGTAGGGGGTGGCACAAGAACCAGGTGCTTGTTCAGCCGCTTGGCCCAGGTGCATCCTATGTGAAGGACCCCACTCCCAGCTACACCACGCAGTCTTCGCCCGGCTTCGGTCCACCCGCCTACGTGCCGCCGGTCCTTACGCAACAGCCTCGGCCGGGCATGGGCCCGAGCGGTGTGGTGGGCGCCGTGGGCATCGCGGCGCCGGCGCCCACGATGGCGCCAGCACCGATGCGAAGCTATGGGTATCCTGCCCCAATGATGCCGCTTGGCAGTGTTGCAGTTGATGTTGTGGTGAGCTTTTGAAGATGTTGTAAGGATGGTGTTGGAGATTGGAGGTGCTGGGTAGATGCACACGGTTCAAGCGTGTTCAAGCTCTAGGTGTTCCAACTCAGAAGTGTTTGGGTTTTGAGGATCCTTGGGATTCGTCTCCGAGGCAAAGATGGATCGCGCCACAAGCGCCCTACAAAGCCTTTTGAACCGAAGGAGTCATCCTTCGAAGAATTTCGCTCGGTTTCCAGGCTGGGCGCATCACCAGAGTTGTATTGTGCTTTGCCATATGCAAAGCTCCAGCTTCTCAAGGGCTATGCCGACTTTTTGAAGGCCACAGCATCAACATCAACACTAATAGTTCACAGACCTGGGCACCAGATCAGGCTGCAGGTCCAAACCTGGAGCCCTAAACAACCCTTTTGGGTTGACCTCCGTTGACCTCCCTGGTAGGCCATTCTGTTCATGTTCTGTAGAAAATTCTGTGGTCATATCATTTTAAATCACTCGCAGGATGCAAGCCCGAGTATACAACCCCTGTGGCAAACTCAATGGTGAGATCACCCAGATCTGGATCTGGTGCACGCCCACTGGAAACTATTCTCAGGGTTGGATCAAAGGATCAGCGTCTGATGCTTGTACCTTTAGCAAACATGGAGCTTCCGAAGCGTCTCGTGATCGGATTGGGTTCGATTAGAGCTTGTTCACTATGGGGAGAGAACCACTGAAGACACATCCCGACAGGGTAGCTGACAAAAATCTGTTGATCCTTGTGATTGGAGAGGTGAACATGATGGCCAGAAGGTTTTTCACGTTTAACAGACTGTCAGACTCCAAGATGATTCAACAGGAAACACTTTACACACCAAACAAAAGATAACATCACGTGCAGTTAAAAGCACGAGTCCGTGTAGCTCCGTCGTAAAACGAATAGATAAGGCTCGCCTCAAAACGGTCGGCTCGGTCGCGGGCTCCACGCTTTCTCCGACCCAAACGCGGTCGTGGAATCGCTGGGGCCGTGGGTCGGGTCGGGAAGTGCAAGTGGTCGGGTCCACGGCTTCAGCGAACCGTTCCACGGTTCGAAGCGTTCGAACTCGGAGGGTCGATTCATGTGTTGTTTTTCCCACCCGGCAAAGACCAACGAAAGGCCAGGCCCATAAGATTGGTGGCGGTGTTTGGATTTAGAGTTTTTGTTTGGGGGGAGGAACAGTGCAGTGCTCATCTGTGGGGAAAAACTTAAAACGATGACCGACCACATATCATTTGGATAAATTGTCAAACTAGTATCCATGAATGCTGCTGAATAAGACTGAACGAGAGCCCGAGACAACAACTCAATCAGTGTCTTTTGGTCTCCATCATATTTTTTGGCCGGGGGTGTATCATCCAGAAAACATATCACAGAGCGTCGTCAAGCAAAGGTGTTGTGATCTGATTATGGCAACTTCTCCTTTGCCCAAAATATGACAATACATTAAGTTGTGTTACAATTGTTGAATTTCCTTGTATGATCTTGTATGTGCGGCTCCTGTTGCATTTGACCCCATACTGACCCATACTGCGAATCAGTGTGCGGCTCCCCACGTCGACGGCCATTTGTGCTGACCTTGCCGACCTCGAATTCGTGACGCCCGTGCCGACCGGCTGAAAGTCCGCGTCACGGACGCGCCGTTGAACTCGCGTTGGACGCAGAAAGAGGCACCGCGCGAGCCGAGTGTCTTCACCGAGCGATGTTTTTGGTGCTTTTCAACGACGGGATGTTTTGGTGGATCCAGTCAATGGAACCATGGATGACCTGCTTTGGCTTTGGTGTATCCAGTGATCCTGGCAGTGATCCTGGATTTGTTTGAGCGTCGATGTTCACTTGGGGGAATCGGGGAATCCAGTGACTTCCAATTGTTGGATATGCCCCGCGCAACAGTATTCAGCAGTATACATGTTCAGTATTCAGATCACCTAGCGCAGCCCGAGTGACCTTTGCCAAGGACAAGGTTTTTTGCGTAATGTGAGCCCTGCAATCCCCCAGGCCCAGAATGGATTCCAATCCAGTCCACCAATCAGAGCCATGTCTTTTTGAGTATGGACCGTACCAGGACACACAAAGGGTAGTATTCTGGACACCCCTTAACCTCTTTTTGGAGCTACCAATAGAAAACCCAACCAGGGGGGGTCCTGGTAGGGACCTCTGAATCTCACCTTGACTATCAACTGTGTTCGGAACGGGTGACACTCGATCACCCGAAGTCCAAGGAGAGCTGGCTACTGAGAGTGAACGCATTGGCGACACGCGCGAGGAGGTGACGGGTGAGGGGTTTTCCGAAGAACAGACAAAGACTCAATGGGACTGGAATCAATGATGCACTATAGTATGACTCAATTTCAATCACCCCAAATGTACACAATTAAGATCAATTACATTACATCATATCTGCCAGTCCCCTCGGCCCATGAAACACAATGTGTCTCGATGTGCCACATCGGTGCGACGATCTCCGACTTGGACACATGGAGATGTGACGAAGACTGTGACCGGGTGAGTTCTGCACTGATCAGGTGAGTTCAGCGATGCTGCAGATCCAGGTTCCCCAAGGGCCCTAGGGATCCAGAAGTACCGAAACGCATGTACGACTGGAAATCCCGGCAGTACGACATGTCTCAGTGTCGAGCACATCACCGTACCTGAGCTTCGGTACGACTGAATCATCTTGGATCCCGGTGATCTTCCGGAGAGAAACCTTCTGCCCTCCACACCAGGTCCATGGAGTAGGTCATGAGGTCTGCGAGGTTGTTTCGCTCTGAGCTCTGCCCATGGGACTGGAAGGTCAATGTAAATATGCCAGTCCCGATGGTTTGGATGCAGTGGCAGTCGGTCGCATTGGTCCAAACAGTTTGTTCACGTCAAGTTGCGATGAGTTCATGTGCAATATCCAATAGCATCGCCGGGTCACGGTCACAAAAATGTACATTCGGGGGGGTGCCCCCCTATCCTTGTAGAGTTAAATCCGGTGATCCAATATCAGATAGGGCACAACTCACCAAGGCCACAGGGTGTTCTTTTGAATAAAAATGTTCACGTTGGTCGTGAACACCTAAATCTGTAAGTGTTTAAGCAGCATTAGCAATCCGGCTATACCCAAGATCGAGCATGATTGATCAGCCTGCTTTTGCAGACTTTGGGTGCTTTGGAATGCCGTGGATTCGTTTTGTGAAGCAGTGGCAGTTTCGGCCAGACCCCTGGCATTTTATATCGCAAGGATATCTTTTGAGAAGGTGCTACATTGCAGATGGGTGAGGCTACATTGGAATCCCTTCTCAGAAGACATCCAAGGATACCTGAAGGAAGAAATCCGGCACCCGAACGATGTGCAGTTCCACAGATTCCACAGACCCACCCCAGATGTACGCCCCGTACACGACAGATGTTCTGTCTGTGCCGAGCGGCCAACCACGCATGTCATGTCAACAGGTCGCACCCGAGCTCGGTCGCCACCAGGGCATCTTCACGGTGCTGGGCGACCTCTTGCACCGTTGCGTCGGGCAGGAAGCCAGGCATCCGGACGTCGGTGGACGGAAGAGCAACGGCCGAAGGCGCCAGGCACGGAAGAGGTGGAAACCCTCCAAACGTGGAAGACAGAGCCACTCCCTACAGGTCAGTTTGACCTCATTTTACCGGAGTTGGTCATACAACAGCACTACTCAACGAGCTTTTCAGGACCAGGGTTTACTAGGTCTTTGGACGTGTAGGGGATCAGGGTTCCAAAGTGTTTGTTGTGTTCTTTGGGTTAAAAAGCAGGTTTGCAAGGTTTGCAAGTCCGAACGTGTCAGATTCCGAACATGGGTACTGTATATAGACTTCTGTGAAGTCTTTCAGCCGTTCTGCTGATCCCACCCTCGAGTGGCTGGTCATTTCCCCATTCCGAGGTACCTTTGAGAAAATCCCGACTCCACGAACTGTGCTGTAGTTGGATGTCTTTGGTGCATTCCGGCCGAAGTGCTCTAAGACCTCAACCAGTTAAGGTGGTTCAACCTCGACTCACGCCGATGGTCTATGTCGGAGACGGTGTGGATATGGAGGATCCGATGAGCTAGCTTCTTGCTATGCTCTTAACCGGTTCTTTTCAAACGGCTGTTCGGACAGCATGAATCTATTCGATTCTATCAATTGACCTCCTCAATTGACCCGGAATTCCACCGAAGACTCTTCCCGTGTTGCTCCTCCAGGAATTCCCACGAGATCCACGGCCTGCTCCGGGTCTTCTCTGAGGCCGGGTCCGTTCGGGACCCCCGGGGAGTCCGGTACGGCCCGTGGCGGCGCAGGCGGCGTCCAAGTTGAAGGGCTCTGAGTTGAAAGCATTGAGCTCGGTGCTGCAGGGCTCCTCCATGTGCACCTTGTGGGGTGCCCCAGTGCGCGCAGCGACTGACTGGAAGATGGTGCAGGACTGGAATGTGGCGCTCCTACCAGATCCTCAAAAACTTAGACCCAAAGAATCGACCCTAACCACCTTCTCAGGAAAAAGTTGGAGCCCTAGGGCTTATAGAATGGGCACCCCAAAGATGTTGAGGCGGTGACCGAGCCAGGGATGGATTGCAGTCCAACACTGTGGAGTTTATCCTGAAACTGTCAAGGTTACACTTCTTGGAACCAACATGGAAGTGGAGAAACAAAGAAAAACTTGTTGTAGATGTAGATGAAAATAGTCTTCCAAGTGGCCATGTTCCACTTCCGAATGTACTCACAAAAAATGGTCCGTTCCACTTGCTTTGTTTGCATGTTTGTTTGAAAGGTGTTTACTGGAGAGTTACAGTAGTGCCTTATGTTTCAGCCACGGCTAGGTGGTTTAACACCCATCAAAGTGTGGATTTGCTGTGCTTCCTATCCAAACCTTACTAAACCCATCTAAACCCTTGTTAACTTAACTGTTCATGTGACGCACTAATCCCTTTCCGTTGATGATGAAACAGAGTAAAGGCCTCACCGACAAGACTCGCGGGTCGAGTTCCTTGAATTAAATAGGCTGGAGACAACACAAGAAACCCATTTGCGATCTGAACACCCAGGAAGTTCCAAGTGCTTTTTGTTTTTGCAGTAAATAATAGAGCATGATCGAGCGCATATTAAAGATGCGAGCCAAGTCAACGGTGGTGTCCCTTTTCCGTTTTGAAGCATTGAAATGCTTGTCAAACCGCTTGTGGACATACCTTTCAATGT